GGAGCGGGTGGCGAGGGTGGTGGCGCGGGTGCCGGCGCACAGTGGGCGAGCGCGGGCCTGGCCGCCCGCCTGACGGAAAGGAAAGCCACCTGGCCACCCGGAAGCGGCGAGTGCGGGCCGGAGCGAGCGGGGCTCCCGCGGTCCCCCGCCGTCTACCCCGCGGGATCCGGAGTAGTTAGAGCTTCTGGAGACTGTGCGCGCCGTGCCGGGTGCGGAATCCCCGAAGTGTGTTTAGTTTGCACAAGGTCCTGCCCTTGCTCGATTGGAGGAAAAAACGAGATGCCTCATGAGCTTTAAGATTCGAGGGCCGGGGCCCAGACCACCTTAGGAGGGTGTCTGTTAGGAAGAAATGTCGCTAGACGTGGGTAAGAAGTGGTTGGGGACTCGAAGATGCTCTCGCTGGTCACCTTCAGAGGATCCGAGCGTGGACGCTTCCCACCCTTGCTCCATTCTGAGATCTCGAAGACTGTCACCGTGCAGATAGTTTGAAAAGAATGTTTTATTTGGAATCCTTGCGTTGTTTGGATTGCTGAAGTTAGGCTTGCCTTCCTTCGGTTCCGTGGGGGTGGGGGGGATGGGAAGCACTTCCTGAAGGTGCCCTTGGCCTGCCCCCAGCCCTGCCCAGCTCTTGCAAAACCTGCCGTGTCTTTGTGATCTGCTGTGTCATTTTTTCTTCTTCTTCTCTGGTCCAAGGACTGGTGTTTGGAGTCCAGGGCAATTCGCAAACCACTAGTGCTCTTTGTACACACGCCTAAAGCACTTCTCCGAACTTCCCACACTACCGTACTTTCCTTCCTCGGTGGCTTTCTCAAAAGTCACTGTAAACAGAAAGGGTGGGTATTGAGGTTAATAGCCCCACACACACACCGGGGGGGGGGGGGGGGGGGGGACTGTCTAGGACTTACCTGGTCAGCTAAGGGTTACCTGTGGCCAGGAGCACAGTGCCCATAGTCACTGCATTCATGAAACTTTTAAGAAGTAATGGTTTCTTTAGTCACCTAATGTCTAAATACGTTGTCTTTCACCACAGCTTAGAAGTAATGACATAACCGCTTATGGGGGCTGGAGAGATGGCTCACCAGTTTAGAGGAGTACTTGCTTTTGCAGAGGACCTGGGTTTGATTCCCGGCACCCACACGGTGCTTCACAGTGATCTGTAACTCCATTTCCAAGGAATCCAAAAGCCCTCCTTCTCCATCCAGCGTTCACAGGCAGCAGGCACATATGCGGCGCACATGCATATATTCAGGCAAATACATACCGAATAAAAGGAACAAATCAGAAAAGAACCACATATAAACTGGACCTAGTGGTACACATCTTTAATCCAGTACTCCACAGCCCAGGCTTGGTTCATATAGCAGGTTCCAGGCCAACCAGAGCTATATAGTGACACTGTCTTGGAAAAAAAAGAAAGATAGAAAATGTAATAAGCTGTTGTTTCTTCACATAACTGTCTTGTGGCAGCCACTCCAGATAATATATATATCTTGTCTCTTTTATAGGATGAATTTTTAGACGTCATCTACTGGTTCCGACAGATCATTGCTGTGGTCTTGGGTGTCATTTGGGGCATTTTGCCCTTGCGAGGCTTCTTGGGAATAGCAGGGTAAGTCTTGGGTATTTCGCATTCTTGAAGTTTTGTCTGAGATAGGATCTCTCTGGAGCTTAGCACTTGGAGTAGTTCTGCCTCGGCCTAATAAGTGCTGGGATTAGAAGCAAGCGACTATGCTTAGGATTCTCATTTCTGTTTATTTTATTTTTTTTTTAAGATTTTTTTTTTTTTTTTTTTAGGGACAGGGTCTCATGTAGCCCAGGTTGCCCTTTAAACTTCTGATCCTCTTGCCCCCACTTCCCAGATGCTTACAGGCATGTGTCTACATGCTTGGCTCGTGGTTTCTTTTCAAATAGAGGCTCTGTTTTCCTCTTATGACTATATCATGTGCATCTGATTACTAAAGCAAAAATGTCAGCATTAGCACTCCTAGGCCTGGTGCAGTGTTCCTTAGCTCTCAGGCCCAGGAGCATCCCATGTCAGGCTGTTGTCCTGAGGACTGGGCCAGTTTATTCATTCCATGGGTCTAATATGACTCTTTGCAAGTGGTTGGCAACAGTATTCCTAGTTGTGGCCTGACCTTGGTACCTGTGGGAGTTGAGGAAATAGAGCAGCTTTGTAGTTGACCCTTTTTATGCTTTGCGTTTTGCTGATGTTCCAACTCTTGGCTTTGGCAGGAGTTATTTTCAGGTCCCTGCGTTTTAAAAGCGCCACCTTCACTCCTTGGCCTGGCACATTTTGCTTTACTCCTGGCCAGTGGCAACATCCTTGGCACCTGCTCATACATGGTTCACTTTATTGAGTCACTGAAAGAAAGCCTGTACTCGTGAAACTGCACCCAAAAGGCTTAAACTCATAAGTAGGAACTGTGAGCAAGCTCTTCTGGAAGTGAGGAGGCTAGAGAGTGAGGAGTAGTGTGTTTCAGAAACAGATTGGGATAATCTCTTGGACAGTAGTGCACACAAAAGAAATATATAGTAGCTTCTCCTGTTGACAGGATCTGTTCCAGGACCCTCAGTGGATACCCACAACTAACTAACTACATGTCTCTGATAAAGTTTAAATTTAAATGAGAAGGTGGGCATGATGGTGCATGCCTGTAATCTTTGTGCTGAGACAGGAGGCTCCCCGTGAGTTACTAACTGTGCCACATAGTGATTTCCCGGCCAGTCAGCGAGGGATATGGAATAAGACTGTCTCAGAAAACCAGTTGTGGCGGTGGCGGAGGTGCAGCACATGCCTTTAATCCCAGCACTCGGGAGGCAGAGCCAGGCGGATCTCTGTGAGTTCAAGGCCAGCCTGGTTCACATAGCAGGTTCCAGGCCAACCAGAGCTATATAGTGACACTGTCTTGGAAAAAAAAGAAAGATAGAAAATGTAATAAGCTGTTGTTTC